ATCTGCGACAGATGGAGAAGTATTATAATTGGTACAAGAAATTTTCGAAGAGTATTAAATATAAAATGATCATCAAAATTTTTTACTGAGATATATTAAGATAAAAATAAACAAATATCTTATTCACTTTATAATTTGAAATTACAAAAAGTTCAATTTCTTTTTCGGAATAATCAAAAATGAAAAGATTTTTTTTCTCTTCCGTTAATTTCATCATTTAATCAAAGGATAATTAATTTTTTCTTCGTTTGTCTCTTTAATCGAAAACAAGAAACTTACAACTTGTAAATTATTGATTCATTCATAAATGAATTTTAGGCAAAAAAAAAAAAAATTCAAAGAATGTTAACGGGAAATTAGCGTAACGTTCACGTTGGATAACGTAAAGATCACGTTGAAAAGCTTTTCATTTCTACAATTGCTAACATTGGTGTTAATGTTAGTGGAGAATCTGAACTGATCGTAATGTCGCTACAGAATCTAAAGTGATCGACTGGTCGTAATCTCATTACAGAATCTGAATTGGTCGTAATCTCAGTGTAGAATTTGAACTGATCGTAATCTGAGTACAGAATCTGAATTAGTCGTAATCTCAATAAAGGAATCGTAATCTCACTACAGAATCTGAATTGATCGTAATTTCAGTGCACAACTTGAACTGATCATAATCTGAGTGCATAATCTGAATTAGTCGTAATCTCAATAAAGGACCTCGAATGACATATCCAAGCACTATGACGTTGATATTATAATATAGATTTATTAATAGATAATATAAAGTTATTTGATTGTTTTGTAAAATAGCTATAAACATACTTTTATATTGTAATGTTTTATTTTTACCCATTCAATGTAACATTAATCCAAATATTTTACAAACAAATGAATTGATCTCATTCGTACTTCTCATCTCTTTCTTTTTCTCAACTATATTCCAATAATTTGAAAAGATTTTAATGGAATTCCAAAACATATATTCTCCTAGAAGGATTAATAGTAGTAATACATCAGTTAAAAAAAAATGATACAAGAATCATTCCAATAATTTTACACAATTTTCCAACAATGATATATTGCAACGACAAATTTCATTATACGGCCGCATTAAAGTGATTCTTCAAATATTTAGATTACTCGCTCCTCGGCAATTTGATGAGATGACGTGGATTGATGGTTGTTTATTTAGTTTTATATTGTATGTTCAATTGAGAGTTACGTGATAATTATGTAATAGTTAAGGCATTTATGAAAAAATAGATATAACTATTTTATTTTGAAATTGCTGTTGGTTTAAGGATACTGAAATGGGAAAGCGTAAAGTGAAGCGAAAGCCACCACCAAAAGTGAAATCAATCGTTCCACTGGAGACACAATTCAATTGTCCATTCTGCAATCACGAAAGAGTGTGTGAAGTAAAAATGTATGTCTCATACTTACAGGTTCCAATCCTCAATATTTATTTTAATAACTTAAGCTAAATTTAGAACTTATGAGTTTTGGCTGTTACTCTGTAAAGTATCTAGGTAGCTCATAAGATAATGATATGATTTCGTATGTTTTTTTTTTCTTTGATTCTTGGGCGTTTTTTTTAATTCATGTCTTTTTTTTTAATCCATGAGCGTTTTACTGACTGAAAAAAAAAAGTCAAGGACGTCTTGCTATTAAACAATACGTAATCCTAATTCGTTTGTAAATCTCGAACCACATTTCAAGGTCTAGTCACTGTAATCATAAGTCTTCATCAACAAATCAGGATGTCTTTTAAGCTTGAAATTGATCTAAACGAGGTATTTGTGGGGTAGTTTGTAGATAAGCTGAACTTTTGAATAAGTGCAGAACAAAAGTTCTCCAAATCAGCTGAACGAAGAGAATTCCCACTGTAAATGATTTGAAGGAATAAGATAGAAGAATAAGACAGTTTAGGATGCTGAGTTATGTTTGATATTTCACTATATTCTGTTACACATCCTAACTACTGTAAAACTCATCTGTAACTGATACTTTCAACAATGAATACGATTTCAGTCTGACATTACTTTTAAAAATTTACAGGTCATTAACTTCGTTGATGCTCGTGATTTTTTCTTTTGCTTTAGGGATCGTGAACGAAATGTGGGTTTCATCTCATGTAGAGTATGCCTCGAAGATTTCCAAACAAATATCAATTATCTATCTGAACCAATTGATGTCTATTCGGATTGGATTGATGCATGCGAGCAAGCAAACCGGTAAAGCATATTACCGCCCGATATGATTTGACTGATATCTTCTTCCAGATGAAACATTTTTCTAAATAGCTTCTTTCTATGCTTTCCGGATTGTATTGCAGTTATGTGTTATGTAAAAAAAAAAGAAAAACAAAAAAGAGATGGATTATTTAATTACCATATATGATTGATGTCAGATCCTTCACGAGGCTTAATCTTAGATGATATTGCGATGGTTGTATTTTTACGAGAATAATCAGTGTTTTCCAGAACCTTTTCATGTACGAACAACAGAGTTGTTTCATTTTCTAAATGGTTTCCTTCTATGCTTACCAGATGGTGCTGAGATTTGATTTAATTCGGTGGTTACATAAAAAAAAAATGTTGATCTATCACTAGTACAGAGGATGATAATAACAATTACGATCAAATGGTTTGACTTTTCCTGGAGGAAGAGTACAAAAGATTTTGGATTCCGCCGATTTAAATTCAAATCGAAGGTATACCACTGTTCTGTGCTTTTGAGTGTATACATGAACTATGTTATTGTTCAACTATTGCTGTCCTTGGATATTTTATTTTTTGGGATTTATCTTTTCCTGTTTGTAATACATTGGGGAAGTCTCGGTGTATATTCGCTTTATTCTTTTGTTTCAATTATAAACTTGCATTAAATACATTCGTTGAACTTGATTGTATGTCGGATAATTTGTAAATAATATAGCAGGTTTGTGTGACAATAACTTCTATAATGCGGACTTACAGTTTCTAACTAACGTTTGATTTGAAGCCCCATCATATTATTCATTGGCTTTTACGTGGCACCGATAGTTTGAGTTGGTTTCAAACATCATAAAGAATTTTTAAGTTTTAGAACATATTTTGTCTTGGGAAATTGAGGACTTTTTCAGATTTATTATTATCTACGCAATCAGTTTGGTACCATTAATTTTATTATCGTCTAATAGTGTACGAAGCATGAATTTATTTAAGAAAAAATGATTTGTTGGTAATTGAATAAATATTCCATACGACAAGTTGATTGAGGTTGTTTCAAGAATTTTTTGTGCGACAACTTAATTTACTACTAACATTCACAGTAAGAAAACAGATTACGAGAATCACTGAACCTATTATGAGAGCCTAATGTATTAGGGATACAATGAAGAGTTGAGAACAAGATCATCGAAATAAAATTTATATAAAACTAGGAAGCGATAAATTAATATACATGTGATTCATTTCACAATTTAATAGTTATAATGAGAATAAATAATGAAACACTGAATAAAAGTGATTAGAAGAGTTTTCTGATGATGAAATGAGATAATCTTATATAATCTAGATTTTAACATCTACAATAATTCTTATTATTCTTATAAGGATGCTTTAAATTTTTATTCTGCGAAAATTCAATAAGAAATTTAATGAGCAAATCTTTCTAAAAAAAAAAAAAAGAAGGAAGGGACAAACTATCATACATTATCAAATATTCCTCAAAAAAATGAATAAGTTTTACGAAATCTAATCATTCTTTTCAAAATTTATTCTTTATGTAATTCATACAATTCATTAACCATTTCCAGTATACAACCAATACTCCAAGCTTGTGCACCACATGAATAATAACATGGTGAACCATTTGCATTAGTTAATTCAGGAAGTGATGCCCAAGTTGAATGCTTCAAATGTTCCCAATATGGACCCATTCGCGAACGTACGAATCGTTTAGCTTTTTCATAAAATTCCACATTATTCCTATCTTCACTGATCACTTTTGCTATGGCTAATTTTGCTCGATAAAAAAACATTCCCACCCATAGCCATTCCTAAAAATTATTAATTCCGAAAAAAGAAAAAAAAAAGCGATTACAAATTTTTGAAAAGCATTTGAATCCTTTTTTTTCCTAAAAAAAAAAGTATGATAATTACATTAAAGTAAGATAAGAAAATTTGCAATGAATTCATTATTTCAGCATGAAATTTAGTCAAAATAATTTTAAATACCTTAGGATCAGAAGATTTAATATGATGATTATATGATCTTGATAATAACTCACCGGTCCTTGATGATAACTCCAACCTCGAGCTGTCTTCTTTTCTGTGCCATCATCATCTTGATTGTAGAATGGACAGTAATTATAGTCACTGGAAAGTAATTCAGTGAATTTTATTTTTTTTTAAATTCAAACAATCGTCCAGCATATATTATTGTGCATTAGATTACCATTATCAGTTAATGCTCAGTGCTATGAACTGGAAACAGACCCCCTATATGGCCTTAATTGAAAACTACCCTTATCAGTTAATGCTCAGTTCTATGAACTGAAAATAAATCATTGTATGGCCTTAATTGAGAATCTTGATAAATGTGGTAAATGTTACTTATGTATCATTGTTTTATTTAGCCTACATAATCTTACCTTGGATCGAGAGTTTTGATACCCAATGGTCCAAGTAATTCCTTCTCTGCAATTTCCAATGCATGCCAAGCCTTTTCTGGAGCCATTAATCTTGGAGCCTAAAATAGCATGAATTTTATGGAATAATTTTTTATTACATTTTAAATTTACTAACCTTTTGATTTAAATGTTAATTACAAAATTTAAAAGCTATATCAAAAAAAATCTATTACATTTCTGAATATATTATCAAACAAACTTACCACAGCTAATGCAATCGAAAAGTTTGGCCTTAATTGATAATCAGTATAACCTTGCGTTGAACCATATGTATCCTTAATTATGCCACGTCTATTTACATACTGTGACAAATCATTATCAGCTACATAGAAAAATCGTTCGAAATTATTTTTCATAATATTTGCCCATTTTTGCCATGTCCATATTTCTTTCTTTTCTATAAAAAAAATTATATTTAAGCAATTAATTCAATTATTATTTAGGAACATTTCATAAGTATTAATTTTTAGAAATTTCATCGAAATGTTAAATTTCATAAAATTTTATTGAAAGAAAAAAAAGGAATCATAGAAAATTTTAAATACAAACCATTAGAAACACCCTCATATGGATAGAGTTTTTTTTGATACAATTCATCTAGTTTTGCAATTACCGCAAAACAAAGGCCTTGCAATTCAACAGCAGCACCATCTCGTGGTGTTGCTGGCCAACCTTTATTACCCGCTTTCTCAGAACTTCCCATTTTATCCATCCATGTACCACAATTGTAAACATTACCGCCAAATATAAAACCCGTACTATGATCAACATATGCTTTTACATGAAAGCCTAAAAATGATTATTAAATTATACCTTGATTACTCTTCATATCATTAATTTCTTTTTCTCTTTTTTTTTCTTTGTAGAAAATAAACTTTTATGAAACTTGAACTTTTTTAGAACATGCCTTGCTCCTGCATATGTTCATCAATTCTATAACCAGCATTACGCTCAACAAATTCTATTCCATTAAAATGTCGCATAAGTGCTTCTTGCATTGTATCAGCAAGACATTGTTCCTAAAATTGCTTTTGATATTTTTAAAAATAAAATTACTCAAATTATTACACTAAAGATATGGAATAAATGCATTTTTGACGTATAAAATTACATTTTATTAACTAATCAATCAAACAGTAAGCCGGTTAATTAATAAATCACTCAAACAATCAACCAAATAATCAACCAATCAATCAATCAAATTTACTTACAGTTAAATCATGTCCATAAATGGTATCATCGTGGATGAATATACGAAGTACTTTACTTCTAAGAATTTGAGCACCTTCTGGAACCATTTCAATATATTTCACAATAGCATACAACCAAAACCAAATAGCATCACGAGCATTATAACGTGCACCATATCCGCCATCCAAAAGATTGGGTATTAATCCATGTCTCATTGCAGCACCATATGATAGAATTAAATTTCTACAATATTTTTCCCATCATGAAATACAACAATATCCAACAGTATCAATGATGAAATACAAC